GACCGTCCCTTTTTTAGTACAAATTGCTGTTATTTACTGTTGAGTTGGCAAGCTAGAAAGTAGCGCTTTCTTTTCACCCCAGTGATACACGCATAACAACAACATAGTATCCAAGCCCCTATTGAGATTAGCTATTACTGCGCTATAGTGTTCCACACGGGTCGAGCTACTGATACAAAAATTGGCGATCAATACAAGAATTCAACCTGTGAGACAGATCTAACTTTGCGACATATACTTTATCGTTCGGTTCGTGCTTTATTCCTATTGAATTGCCAATTCTAGGGCCTATCAATATTAACAATAGGCTGCCGTACAGTTAAATGCGGTCTTTTTTGAAACGTCCATTTAGGTGCGACAGAGATATATAATCGTAAATATGTGACATTTATAATCAACTGATTGTCCAACAGGCGGTCAACTGTGCCAGGCAATCGAGACCCGCTCTTCTTTAGGCCCATTTCTTTCCAGTCATCATCAACATCTATAGATAGTCTTATTCGCCGGATGGACCCTGTTGTATCCTACGAGGCAGAAACTAGCTATATTCTTTCGTCATTTCGAAGACTTACGTATTTACCGTAAAGAGGAAACAGAGAAGAAGTATTATACAGTTCACACATAGATTTAAGATTATTGCCGTTTTTCAAACAACCTAACTTTCTCCATCTGTTTTCCAGTTCTCATGACAGGGGAGCGATCCCTTTCTTATTTACACATTAAGGAACATTTCAGTGGAAACCTGGGTCGTCTCTGGTGTGCTCCACATAAGCTACATGTTACCATAGGATCAACTGTATACTTTTGCAACGTTACAAATCTACGAGTGTATTAGCGTAAATGCAACCGCGCCTAGTGGCAAGATTACGATCAATCAAAATTCAATTTAGTTGGAAAGGCCACTTTCTATGGCCTATCGGAGTTCCCCGAATCGAATATCATGTATGGATAATCTCGACTTCTTTTTTGCAGATGACTTTTTTCAAAATTACTCTGTGAAAGAAAGAAAGAAAGAAAAATTGTTCGGTGATACCCGCGGCTTTCGTGGTCTTGGTGACGATGGTTCTCCTTTTATATTCGACAAAAGCGTGATGACACTTGTAAATATCCGTACGACCAGACTAACTGGGGGGCGCTTCACTTTGACCTTGTGTAACATCAATCTGGTAATGATTTTGTATATGTATATACATATGCCGAGTCGAGTTTGTGCAGTGAGTGTTATACTTTGCTTATCATTTAGTTTGCCTCAAAAAACTGAACCTCTTTTACTTCATATTCAGGCTACCATAGTGTGATTGGCATTGTTGGTTATCTTTTGCAGAAGGATGATAGACCTCGTGTCTACGATGATTCCAATGGCATCTCGAGATTACCATAGTCTAGACGGTCGGGGTGTCTGGCAGATACCGAGTTGGTTAGTTCAACAACAAAGATGCTAAAAAGGCCGACCATCACAATTTGATCCTATTTATACCGTTTATACCACTATCGAATCTGAGCTTTTTGATCATTTTACAGTACAAGCCGAACGTTTGGTGATCACATCATTGGAACGACTTTTATTCGGCTAACCAGATTAGTGACTGGGCGAAAAGGTCTCGGTACGCATGTATACATATCTGTCATAAAAACAGCTGCAGGGACAAAAACATTCGAACGTCAAATAATAAGACGATATCTAGGATAAATGGCAAACAGTGGTCGGTAAATCCGAAGGAACTATCTAAGGGTGCAGTCGCAAGGCCCTAACCTGATAAGAGGAATTATATGATTTTGACAGCTTTCTTCTGTATAATGAACTACATAACTGTGACATCAATATGACATTTTAACGTACGCTTATCTAATAGCAATTCAGTAACAATACAGGTAGTCCTGAATTTGCAGAGGCCCGGGCTCTGCCTAACGATAACAAAGTATTAGTTTCTTCTCCTTACGAGCACACTTACGGGTACTTATGAGCACAGAATGTATAAAGTATAGTATGTCCCAGTTAACAAGATAAAAAAGTGGTTTTCCAAAAACAGATTAGTCCCAACAAATTAACAAGACGTACAATTAATAGTTGAGTCTTATTTTCCTAGGTAAAATTAAGCAATATTATATGGACCAAGCCATAAGGACCTGATTACTCCATATCGACTAAACTGAGGGTAATTTAGCGCATGTCGTGTACCGAATATTGAACCATGTGGCTAGCGGTGAATATTCTCACTGGATTCAACACTCGAAGTCCTAAATCATTCATATACAAGCCTGTTAAACACACATGACATGTTTTAATTTTATAATAAAGTTATCTTTTGATTCGTCCTAATCCCATCAGTTAAATGAAATGGAAGCTTCCCTATACATATAAGTAAGGTTTATTAAGATAGACTCTGCATACTTTTGGTTAAAACGAACCTCTTAGTTATGACACTAGCATTTTATCGGGGTTTGAATGAAGCTTTAATTCGAATTTGAACTCTATAAATGAATGTAAAAGAATGCCCTTCTGACACCCATTTTATTTCTCACCGATATGAAAAAATGCCGAAGCAATCTTAGATATTTGTGAAATGGGCGGTGTCAACTCCGTCCCTGAGAGGACTTTTCAAGAATTCTTTGAGAAGTTTAATAATGACATCTTCGAACTGAAGTATATATCGCATCATGGTCGGCTCACCGGTACCGATGCGGGCCGTTTAAAGGCACTTCATCCAGTCTACATTGAGTAAGGAAGGCGCTCAGTAAAGAAACTCGTGAATTAGTTTTGAAGATATGCTATCGTCATGAGTATATAAGATGATCTTAAAGCTAGGAGTCTGGATGTCCTATGAGCTGCGTGAGTACGATGAAACGCCGCTTTTCATAATGCCTCATCATCTCTCCTGGAACTGGACCATACATAGCCAAAATGACAGGCTTCTACATGGAATTGCTACAAATAACAAGTGTCTCTACGTTAATAGATACCAGGGAAAGGAACTGGTAATTCTGGGTTTATACGCCCAAATTTAGAGTTAAATCTGGTTTTGATCTTGAAAGGACCATCTTTTTGACTTGGCAGGTTCGAGGGTGGAAGGGTCTTATACACAGGGAAATGCTTGAAAAGAGCGAGATAATCAGCAAGGATCTCTATACAGCTGTGTTGCATTATGCGAATGAGGCTATCGTGATAGAAAGGCTCGATCAGCAAGGTAATATCTGTCCACGACAATATCAGACCACACCTGGACAAGGTCGTTTAACTTGAGTCGGAGGTTCGTGCACCTACCGGAGCCTCAGACTTTGCACCGACGGGATACCGTTTTTTCCGATCACTGACGTATAGAATATGTATTAGTATATTCAACAACGAAGAGAGTCCCAAAAGCTTTCTGGACGAATTCTTTAATGTCAGACCTGAACATTTCTGGCAAATAGAAATAAAAGAATTGATTGGAACTTGGACAAAGTCATAAAGAGTGGCAGCGGCTATAATATATTATTTTGTAGATAGAATTCGAGCTCCTCGCCGCGATAGTAACTGGCGACGGCTAAAGAGCTAAAGATGTCTGCTAGAACAATGACGCACGCGATGAGGGCGCTCTCGTAGGCCGCCATCTTTGCTACTGCCTCTGCCGGAGACAGACTTCGATTTTAAAGTGTTGTTAACTGTATGATCTGTGCTTGTTCGGTATTGTTAGGCCAATAGATATTTACTGGTTCTTAGTAAAGCAAGAATTAATCAGGAGATCATTTACGTTTCTCTCAATTTAATCGTGCCTGTTCTGTACTGTATAAGAATGTGAGGTTACATATCGTACACACAATTTAATAGTGGATACAAATTTCAGCATCTTGAGACGTCTTGCGTATCATACCAATGACTGCCCTGTCTAGACGGACGACACCGACCCGAAGTAGTCGATAGCCTCTCATATCGCTCTTTATTGGTTCGTCGCCGTTTGTTACCCTGTTTTAAATCTAATTTTAAAAAAGTCTACTAGATAAGAACTAAATATGAGTTGACGGCTATCCCTGTAAGATATCCTGTGCTAAATATTGTTTAGATATACGTTTGAATCATTCCATGAGGCATAGTTGATTGAAAAATACCAATATTTTTAAGGAAAGCCTAATAAATTATTATTTCTGAATTTCTTTCTAAATTATTATTCCGTTTCCGAAAAAATCTGAAAACCATTATCGGCCAACTTATCATAATATATATGAGCCTTAATATTAAGTGAGAGTAATTAATAACCTCAGATGAAACTTGAAACAAATCTGTTGGGTCGTTTGCCCGTTCGTAATGCTGCTCACAGAAGATTCGAATAGGTAATGGGTGAAGCTTAGAAGGGAGAACGCTTTCAGCGGATGGAATCAATTGTATCTGGTCTAGGTGAACTACTCAAGCGATTGACACTTTAAAGAAGTACACGGATAAACGTTCTAATAAGAAATACGCTAATAAGGATTCCATCATAGATCCGATCTATCCCGAGAGGATTGGACGTGTGTGACTGTTTGCGCGCTGCATTATTTATCAACAAACGAAATGCATGATACGAAATCATATTAATAGAATTACTGGGTCTCAACTTCATCTGTCTCTGCTAGTACTGCGTGTAAATAGTAAAACAGCTTTGAATGATTATTCATGTTCACACTTAGAGTTGTTAACCGAAGTGCTAATTTACGACCAGAAGTCATGAAGCATGAGGTCGAGGCTAAAAGCTTTGCGCAACGACAGCCATTTCTTAACGCATCTGCTTATGGTGGCATGATAATATTTATTCAGTCATTTGTGCGTAACAGTATGGGAATTTAGTGAAACCTTTTATCAGTATAATGAACCTCAAAGGAATAGGCTGTTTTTTTTCTCGCTAAACTGCAGTGGAACACATTATGTCGCGGATTAATTTGGCTAGTCACGACTTTGATGGTGCCGCGGCACTTCTGTCTGTTTCTGCCCATCTTATGAAGACTTATCTTGAAGTCTTACACAATAATGGAAATCGTAACACAGATGAATTATAATTACATTTCATATGATACATTTATTTATACTCCATATTGATCTTAATATTCCGCAAGAATCTTCAGTAGTAATGACCGTAGGATTCTTCATGGTGGGGATAAATACCGACTTTGATCTTTTGTATCTGAATACCTTGATCTTCGACAAAAGCGTAGTGGTGTTTGTGGTTCCCATGTGACGAGATGATCCTGGGGTGTTTCACCTCCACCTGTCAATATTCATCGATTATGAACATCAATGTGGCGTACAATGGTGCAAGGTTTCGCCACCTAAACCTTTTCCTCCACGGGCACGTAGCCGTATTCTTAGACGAACCGTTCGAAAGCTGTAGGTTTTTCTTGATCCCCATGAATTCATCGGAGCAGCAGGCTCCACATAACGTTTGTCAAGCCACAGGTGATTCGTTTTAACAAAGGGTAAATTGGCGACCCCTGTTCAACTAAACGGCTAGGCATACTCTGCTCAGAATGTGTTCGTTCGCAATACAGTTTTATGATTAATGAAGCGTGCGATATATGTGTGAAAAGCGAAGCGAGAAATTGAAAGGAAGATTGCAAAGAAAAAAATTTCAAAAAATAATTTCAAGGTTAATATTCAAGTCAGTTATGTTTCAATACCAAACCTTGTACTCATACTCTCCAGCGACAGCCTGGTGGTAATTGTGATTATAGTCTCCATAGTGTTGTTCGAGTCCACCATCGTAAAGGTGGCCAGCATTCACAGTTGCACTAAGCACACTAGCAGTAACAAGAGCTCCCATGGTAGACAAGACCGCGTTGGAGAAGTACATATTTGTCGTTTTCTGTTGTTTGCCTGTGTGAACGAAGCCTTTTTTGGCCTAAAACAAGCGCACGTGTATATATATGGCATTATGTGTCTTACCCGATTCTTGCTCAGGCACGAAAACACCAGGAAAGGGTCGGCCGCGCATGATTCAATTGGGGGCCGAAAACAGATTAGATGCAAAAGCGAGCGATATTTTCGTCATACCTCATCCACCCCGTCTTGTAGTTTACATAAAATCTGTATTTAGCTGTTGGTTCTTCATGGAGTTTTTAAGCCCCCTTCATCTAATCACCTGGCTAATTGATCTGTGCGTTTAAACTTACTTTGCTTTTTGTTTGATCGCACTGTCCGGTGCACGAAACAGCCAAGATCAAAGCTCCCAAAAAAAAAAACCAAAGAATAATCACGGTTTTTGCGTTCGCAGGCGGTCCATCAATAAAAAATAAAAAAAAAAAACATAAAAATACGTACATATCGCTTATATACGATTGATTACGGAGACATCGTTACGTTTTAAATCATAGCTACCTGTTGTTGTTGTCAAGCGACTTATAATACGTTTTAGCCCGCTCGTGTTTTTTGGTTGAATGTAGATACGAGCCGGCATCATTTTCAAGCCACTCGTGCGATCCAGTTCGCTGTTGTGTGGGCATTTTTTTGACGCTTCTTTTTAGCAGAAGTAAAACTGGGATCTTTGGCTTAAGGTTGAGCCCACTTTATTTGCCCCAGATAGATACCTTTATTCCAGGCGCATCCGAACAATATCAGAAAAAATTACAACTCGTCTAAACCGAAGCTCGCGTTGATATTTTGCACTATTGAAAAAACTTATATAGTTGTAAATAATCTGTTTTTAATTGCTCGGTTTTGGTCGAATGCCCTGTTCACTCAAACAGTTCCATGAATAAAAGTTTGTAAATGGTACTCTCAGAACAGAATTTTCCGATTTTAAGTAGCAACAACGCTCTACAAACGACGGCTATACGAAGATACGATTAGCTTTATCTTCCCTCAAAAAAGTTTAATCCTATTATAATTAACATGCTTTAATAGCAGGTACTTAGCTAACAAAGACGTTTGGTATATTATAATATATATACGATAGCCCCGATAACCGTTCGCCTATAGAGAGTCGTTGGCTTCGGTAGACTTCATCGTTATCTAAAACGAATGCATTCAATCAGCTATCAGTGAAACTGATCGATCTACCCTCATGAAGAAATACCGTATGGTATCATCGTCAACTAACGAGAGTAGTTAATAATTAGGAGAATTGAACACCTCGTAAAGCTTCAAGATCTTCGAGGGCAGCAGAAATATTATGTTAGAAAGACTTAATTATATAATTAAAATGGAGTAATATATGCCGAGACAGTGCCATTTTCTATAATATACTTCTCGTGACCTCATATTATTAATATAATAATCATTACGATTAAGAACATATTTTTACAAACAGTCAATTTTAGCGAAACGCTCTCATTCCGGACGTTTAGTGCTAACACTGTGGGTAAGCTATAATGGTCCGGACGAAGCGTTTCAAGATATGCCAATGCTGCCTATAAAAGATGCACTTACCATTAGGGCCAATATTTCCCAAAATCTAAGGTCCACTGCCTCGACCATTTAGAAGATACAACAATTGAAATACGTATTTTTTCCCATATATAATGTCTGACGCTGCGCAATATCAAAAAGTGTAATATTTTATGTTTTTCTTTGTAAACATTTAGGGCATTTTTTTTTTGGAAATGTGTTCTATGAAGCTTGCTTATCGATCATGTTATAGTGCGGTTAAGTCGTGGCTACAATCGAATCAAATCCGCTACATATAGTTTGGCTCAGATCAGAGGTGTAGATTTTTCTTATTATCGAGCTATTATTATTAATTATCGAGCAAAAAATAGTTTCTCTATAATAGCCTACATATTACATGATTCATCATCGACTCTATACTACATCCTCTATGAGTCGTATGTTTTTTTTTCGCCAATTGATACATTGATTATTGTCTAAGAAGAAAGATTAGATAAAAAAATATCCTATTTTTTTTTCCGAATTCTCTCAATTTTCTCAAGTTCTATGGTAATACCAAATGGCTGCTACGTCTAGTATTATCACTTAGTAAGTAATATCACTTAGTTCTCTGCTAGATTCCAGCTAGCTGCAAGAAACAAAAAACACTGACTATTTACAATCATGGCATCAAAATAGGTTGTTTTTTATTTACACATTTTATACAATGGACCCGATACACCGATTGCGTCCATAACATTAAATGGCAATTTGAGTTCTATAATGGAATTTTCTACTCTTCTCTTCTTTTTTTCCATTTTAATTTTTAGCACTTTACTTCTGTATTCGTGAAATCCCAATACTGACTGACCGACAAGACGTTTCTTATATATCTTTCTTTTTCGAACGAGGGACCACAGTTCAAAACAATTATTGCTCCCGGTGGCAGCCTAGGTGAAAATTAGTCTTTCAGTTGCCGTACCAGCCTAAGACTACCCGTACACTGGCGTTACTTTCGCTGGATACAATCGTGATTCGTCCAGATAGGAGCGGCGTTTCGGTCAAATGCACATGACCCTACAGCCTGTTACGGCACATCATACAATACACATGATTCCGTACCAAGTAACGCGATCGTCGTTGCGTAACAGTCGCTAGACAATTCACTGTCCATAAGCGACGCTGAGACTGGTCATGATTTCATCGAATGTGATCCCCTTTGTGAATAGATTTAGACAGAGAATGACACTCGCAGTAAAACTGCGCCGATTGCGCCAGTTTTTACAGAAGGAAGTTTTTATGCGCCTATTCACACACACACACAAGTACAGAAGAAGTACACGCTAAGCTGACAACGACCCCCCCCCCCCCCCCCGCGAAGCCATTTCGCTACCTTTGGTATAGACCAGCTCAGAATCGGGCAGAAGATGCACTTATATACAATAAAGAAATAACAAAAAACCTCCCATGGAATTGATCGACTTTTCCCATCTAGAACTTGTTTAAAAAGATATTTTGAGTGTTAGTTAAAGTGAGCATTGAGATTTTGCCTTTGTCAAGTAAGTAAGAAGCAATTGATCATCGGGTACCGATATCGGAGAACACCGCGCAGATAGGTTCGATCTTGAAGTTCCATCCAGAAGAGACATCCGTAAAAAATCGTAAAAAAGAAGCGTCGACTCTGGGTATTGAGAGATCAGAGCCATTTTGCACGCCATAGTTTAATGGTATCCATAGTCATGGCCCTCTTCGTAACCATGTGCCTCCACATGGGGATAGATGCCGACCTTAATATACTGCTCCTGCACGCCCTTATCCTCGACGAAGGTGTGGTGACCTTTGTGATCTCCCGCGACATGTGTGGGGTGCTTCACGTCAACCTAATGGAACAAATCAAAATGAAAGTCAGCTTTAATATTATTTTATAATAGACTAGTTATACACACACAAGCTAATTATATCGAAAATCAAAAGTCTAAGAAATGCCAAAAATAAATCCCTATACACGATCGAGGCTTATTATCAATAGGGAAAACGTGTAGGAGTTCGGTATAGAAGTTACGCCTTCCAAACAGATGAAGAGATAGGTTTCTTTATTCTTCCTACATTAAATTCCTTTGAAGCGATTATCACATGCAAATCCATATACCTCCCATTTCAACGGGACTCTGCATCTACGGTTAAATTTCTCTGCTCTTAACCCTAAATATTGTGAGAGAGAATATATTGAGAAAGACTATTGTGTGACCACTTCGTCCAACTCGCACGCACCTTGTATCCGAATTCTCCTGCAACGGCGTGGATATGTCCATGTTCTCCGGCCCGGGCCAGGGAGAGTATAGCGAAGAGACATAAGGTAATAAGAACAATTACCTTCATGATATCTCAGTAGTCGAACTGAATAAGAATACAGATGTGCTTGCTTGACCGTATACAGCATTTTCTCGTTTCGCTCGATGCTTTTATCCTTAACGGTGGTCAATTACCATGACATGGGGGAAAGCGTTTTACTGAGCGTTTGAATTGTTTGTTGTCGACTACTTCGTTCAGTTGATTGATTGACCCATACCACAAACAAATTCACAGTTAGCTCTACACGCTTTCTCACTTGCCTTACAGCGGCGTGTGCTAGCAGCGACAGGACACGATCAGATAGCCGGATAAACAGGTAGACACACTCACAGATTGATAAATACAAGAAAGCGGACAGAGACCCAGGTTAAACGTTCGCTGCCCAAATACATCCTGTGTGTCACAAGCGATCATATAGCCGAACCTCTAAAAATAATAAACTTCTTTGCTTTTACTATGTGATTTGCTGCCAACATAACAGGCTGAGAGGTTATCAACGACTGTAGCCCAATCAGACATACGATGGTTTAAACTATAGAAATAATGGAATCATTTTTTGTTGTTTGAATAAATAGTGTGCGCCATATTTTTCCCTACATATTCTAATATCTTTATTGGACGGCTTTGGTGTTAATAGTTAAATGTTGGCAACTGTATAATTTTTATTTTCGTATTTTATACCGCAATTATTTGAAAAGTTGATATTGCAGTCGCTATTGTGTAAAGTTAAGAGAAAATCATTTGCGCGGTGTAAATAACCACTAAATTAGTGTGCTGTCTGTCTATCCCTCGGATGCTACGATTTTTTCTATAGTTAATTAATGGCAGTTAAATAATTATCCATTACATGTATGCATATAAAAAACAGTAACACAGTCTAGATAGCATCGACATCATAATATAGCATCTAGGCGAAATTGCAAATGCCGATGACCTGCCCACCCTCCTTTACCATAAGCCCATATAGCAAGGTGACAGAATTCTATGCTATAATACCAGTTGCAATAATAATAATAATAACAACGGTAGGCGGCAGCACTGTCATTCGTGAGAACCCGTAGTTGGCGATGCCGCCATTTAAATTTTTCCTCGGCCCTCCTATTCTACTCGTGCTTCGCCTTTAGTGAAAAAAAAAAAACAGAAATCCACCATCAACAAAATCAGCCTGAATTGTA